GCAAAGAGGAGTGGGTCAAAATCCCTCCTGAGATGTGTGCAAACCTTGTGGCCAACTACAAGAAACGTGTGACCTCTGTGATTGCCAGCAAAGGTTTTGCCACCAAGTACTGAAACACGTTTTGCAAATGGATCAAATACTTATTTCATTCATGAAAATACAAATTACTTTATAACTTTTTTTGTAATGCATTTTTCTGTTTTTTTTGTTATTGTTGTGTCTCTCACTGTTCACATAAACCTACCAATGAAATTGTAGACTGATCATTTCTTTGTTAGTGGACAAACTTACAAAATCAGCTGGGGTTCAAATAATTTTTTTCCCTGACTGTACAGTATAATTTAAGGATTTCTTCTGCTGGTGATGTGGATTTTACAGATTATTTCTTTTTTCTCACTGCCTACTGCTTCTTTTTTGTAGCTGTCTCACCTGTTTGCTTCTCCTCCTATCCTTTCACTCTATCATACCAGCTCCTACACCTTTTCCCCGCCTCTTTCTGTCCTTTTTATCTCTCTCTTCCTCTCTGCCCTCCCTTCTTCAACTCTCCATCATCTCTCAGCTGCTCTTATCTCTGTCTTGGTGACATTACTGCGGCCAGGGACCAAATGCTGAGTGACAGGTTGACCGACCGATATGGACCCAGGTACTGGATACGGGCTCAGAGGTGAATAACAAACCGTGCAGATTGGCTGGCGAGCAGACTCGTCGTACAGCTAATGAGAGAGAGAGGGGCAGGCAGACACATGGACAGACGGAGCAGTTGGCAGACTGACATGTTGTTAGGCTTTGTAGCAGAGGAGAAGTTGACAAAACGGCTGTGAGGAGGAGAGACAGTTGAGACATGTAGCTGATATGCTTACTCAGAGTGACATATAATACGTGTATCAGAATAAGTCAAAAACCAGAAGACATATGACACATATGTTGACAGATGAGTTGACAGTGAATCCGAAATGTAATGCGCTAATATGCAAAAACACACACACACACACACACACACACTTTCTCTCTCTCTCTCTCTCTCTCTCATGGTGGTTATGGAGCCAGGAGGACGAAAACCAGACATCCAAAACATGATGGGCATGTAGTTAGTTAATCACTTTCTACCGCTGACCACCCAAACTGACACACACAGGCATCTGCATGGAGACCATCAGCACTCTGACTCAAACACAGATTTATATATAAATACTTACATAGAGCATACACACACACACGCACACACACACTGAGTCTGTCTCTGTGGTTGTGTGCATATTCACATCATCTCCACATATTGTGACAGGTCGACTCTGTGATTGCTTGAGCTTGTAGAGCCCCACCTACTCAACTATGCATATTGATATTAAGTGTCATTATGACTAACTTGATTCAGAACGCATTTGAACACAAGTGCATGCTTCAGTGCACATTATTTTTGAAGTATATTAAACCAGCTGTTGAGTAAATGCAAATAGAATCAAAATCGGATTTTTAAAATACATGAACAGGTTTACAGTAAAGTCGCATTTATCCAGTCTTTAATTCAAAAAATGATGGATTGTGACTTGAACATTGTTTAAAATCATTTAAAACAAATGTAGACAAGTGAGAAGAGACAGAAAGACAGAGAGATAAAATTGATACCTCACAATGGTAGGAATGTGGACGACACATGGACATAAGACATTGATATCTATTAACAGGACGGGACTGGATTACTGCAACTAAGTGTGTGTGTGTGTGTGTGTGTGTTTGCGTGCACGGTAACTACATGTCACCTACATTCTGTCGCCATGTGATCTTTGGCTGAGACGGACTCTGGGCTGTGTGTGGGCCTCTCCCTCCCGTTCTCTCTAATTCCCTAACAAATTGATTTAGCAGATTTTCATGAATATTTCACCCAGAGAAGCTAGCAGTAAGTGCAGTATTAAAATTCACTGATATTTTCTCATTAAAAGACATGAAAGGAACATCATGAACCAAACAAAAACAAAGTGTAATGTTTATGGTGCTAGCAATTACTTGATGATTTATGTTTTGTGAGTGATTTCAGGCAGTGAGAAGTTACAACTTCATCTCTGTGGTGGTGAAATGCAGGCAAACCATGCTTTGTTTCACTGATTGCCCTTCCTTACATTATGTCATTTTATGGGTTCATTTACTGTAGTTATCCTGCTAGCGCTGTTCAGGTAGCATTATATGAAAACAATAGCAAAATGTCCATCCCTCTTCCTTCCCATTGACCATGGGGTGGATATACCCCAACCAGGGAACTTGAATCATTGACTAAATGGCTTTAGAAACGTGTTGTCCTTTTGCACTTGCCATGATGTGATTTACTGAATGGCATCACACTGGGAGGGATAAAGGAAATGTGTATGTGTGTGTGTGCATTCTGTTAAGCGAGTGAATGGGCCTTTATTGTCATACAACCATTTATATTTTGTGCAAGCAAAATAAAAGGTATTATTTTCTTAAATTTACAAACTCAATAGGTTTCTTTGTGTTTTTGTACACCATCATTTGTTGCAAAATCATGCCATTGTCTTCTCCAGACGGGGTCCGTTGGATCCAGCTGACTACCCCATGCAGCCTTGGTCCGGTCATTACCCCGGACCTCCCCAGGCCCAACAGGGTTACCCTCAGTCCCCATCCTACCCTAACCTCAACTCCCAGTCTGGGCCATCTTACTCTGGCTACGCACCTGGCCAGCCATACCCACGGCCAGGTGACCCTCGCAGCATTGACCATGGCTACTACACCCACCCAAGGTAACTAAAAGCAAGGAAGCTGCAGTGTGTCTGTACCACACGATGCTGTACACAGAGCATCAGATTTACAGCGTAGTCAGAGTCCTTTGTTTGTCTGTCTGCTCCTAGTATTGTCGCCATGCTTGTTTTCTGCTCCTAGCATTCCCACACCTTGTCTTGATTTGGTTGTAGCTCCCAGCAGAGAGGGCCCTTGCGGCAAGATGTGCCCCCGTCTCCCACCCCTCCTCTTCGTGGACTACGGTATGACACTATGACACATGGAACTGGGGGTGGAGGCTACAGGTAGGGGCGTGTTGCAGATGCAGACAGTCCCAGGTAAAGTCTCTTTTGTTTCATAAATGACTCAGTTCATAAGCTTTAACTTCTGAAGAGTGTTTGATACAAGTGCTATAGTTACAACAAAAGCACTATGTTCCATCATAGTCTGAAGTATGTTGTTGTCTTTGATAAATGCTGTTTACAGTTTAATTTTAATAATAATAGTAGATTTTAAATAATATTACAAACATGAGGACATGTTTGATTACAGGCACCAGGTGGAACCCAGTCCAGACCAATATGGCTATACTGGGGACAAAGGAAGAAGACAGCAACACCAAACCAAGCCAAGACAGAAGAGCGCCATGACTGTGGTTGTGTAGATAAATCAGGTCCAGAGATGAAAAAGAGCAGCTCTTCTGATTTGGGTACTCCAAAAGTAACCTCTTATGGTGTGATTTGAATCAACTTCATTATCAAACATTGTCTGTGCTGTTTGAAGTGTACAGTACGGTAATACACAGACAAGCAGGGTAGAAGAGGTTAATTATAGTGTGGCCGGCATGACGCTTAAAATCATTTAAATTGCTTCAAGTCTTCCCAGATCATAAAATTAGCTTCTTCTTCTTCTTTTTTTTTTGTTTTACCCTTAAGTCATGTCTTTCAAGAATCAGTCAGAGGCACAAAAGTAATTGGATCTATTTAAATGAAGCCACTGAAGGCATACATACAGCTCTGCACACTCACTGTGACAGCAACAGGTTAATCTGAAGATATCATTATTTGCTCTGTAAGACTGTAAATCCAACCGTGCCAAATGAACACAGCAAATGAAGTGCTCACTTTGAGGCCAAGCAGGGAACACACCACTACGTATACCCATCTTTATGAGTACAGTGTCCTAATGATCAGGGTTTGTTTTGTCATTGAATTCTCAAAACCTTTTTTAATAATTACATTATAGTACAATAGAGCAGTGTATAAGTTATGTGAGTGTAATAATCTGATTTTAATAATGCTATGATTGCATTTCATTTTTATTAGCTGGAAGTACTGAATCTCCCATTTCCATTCATTCATATTCATTTCAGGCCTATTATGGGGCTCAAGTTCAGCTTTCAATACTAAACTTTATTTGAAATGACCTCCACTTGAATGTATGATAAACTTGCATGGATTACATTGTGACAGTACCTAATCCATGAAGTCTTCCTGTGCTGACTGAATCATCTCAGCATCTCTGGAGTTTATGATCACTTTCTGGTTTTTTATTACATATCCAATTCAAAGATAATCCTTTGCTTAAAAAAAAGAAAAGCTGACACCCACATTTTGTAAAGTCTCATCAGAATGTGAATGTCAGCCTATGAACTTTGACATTCTGTAAGAAACTCTGTTGTGAAGAAGACAAATAGACAATACACAAACTAAAGCTGCCTTTTTCTCTACCGGGAGTGACTCCTAGTATTAAGACTGCATTTGGTTCAGACATCTCCCTTTTAAAACAACTAAATTACTGGGGAGAGCACACCTGAAATAACGGTGCTTGAAATTAAGGGACAGCAATGTAAAATTGAGCAAACTTGCGATAATGGCAGAACAGTTTATTTCATACAATATATCAAACCAGTGCAATGTGCTGTCTTTGTACAAGTGCTTGTGTCACTGTCAGGCTGAACGTGCTGGAGCATAGCTGTTTCATGTGTAGATGTCCATACTGTTAATTAAACCAGGCAGTTTTGGGAGCAGGTGTGACCAGCTGTAGAGCTGTACCAGCCTCTGTGTCTCCCTACTGTCTGTGTGTCATGTGCTGTAGTTTGAATGTGAAGGATGTTCACTGCACATCTATCTCTGTGACCTGGTGGTGTAGGCATCACCGTGCGCTGAAGTGCACACAAGTCCTGTTGAAACATGGATTATGTGCCAGAGTGCTCTTCTCAGTGCTGCACCTTACTGTATATCCATTTAGCCACTTACTAAACCATCAATTAAGTGTAACTAAGAGTTAGAATCTAGCTTAACATTTCTGTTTCATTCCACAAAGCCCAGCAGTATTAACTTCAACAGAGATTAAATGTTTAAATGACATTTCAAGAGTTGGTGAATTGCATTTATGTTAATAAGACTGAGGATGAAATACCACTAAAGTGAATGTTGAGAGTAATTTGACTGAAACCCATGCAAAAGAATGTGAAGCAGATGCTGTCTCGAAACCATTTCATTTGCTTGTTTGGAGTTTGATTAGAAAGAGGAATAAGGAGAAAGGCAGGTAGAAAGAAAGGACCAGAGCAAGAATAGGAAGGTGTAGTGAAGCAAGAAGGAAAACATGAAACAAGAAAGAAGGATTTACATAAAGATTGATTAAAAATTAGTAATAGACTGAAGGTACTGATGGAGGTGGAAGAAATGGTATAAACAAATGCAGTGCCTGTGTGATTCAGACTGATGTATGAAGACAAGAGCAGAGGAAAGTATGAGAGCTCATAAATATTTGGGCGGCAGTTGCTCTGCAGTAGGAGAAGGGTTACAGGAGTGGGCTTGTGTTGACTGTAGAGACTTTGGGATTTATTTACCAAACATTTGTTTATGCTATTATCACTTTTTGCTCGAAGTACAGAAATTAAACTTCAAAATCTAACTGTCAAGGTTTTACTACAGTAAATATAGTGATAAAACATTTTTAGGAGATTGTCCTTGTGGCTGACTCTATAACTCACCTGTTATAGAGTCAGCACTAAAATAATTTGTACCATCGCTGTCGGGCAGAAACCTTGTATGTTCATATTTTGTCAGGTATTTTCAGTAAATCAATGCTATTGATCACTCTTTGTCTGTCTGTGGGTTTTACAAACATGTAACCAATGAAAAACATTAAGAAAGGCTTGTGACTAAATCTCGTAACTCCATTGGATCCTGAAACTGTCGGCAAAACCTCAAACCTCATAACCTCATTTGATTTAGGTAAAATGCTAATTTTGTATAATGACACATGCAGGCATAAACACACAGTATCAACTTTGACGGCGTGATGTTGAATTATTTTAGATACACGGGGTTTTTCAGCTCCTAAAAAGTAGCCGTTTTGGAGATACGAAGTTTCTGCCCGACAGTGACGATGTGCTCCTTTAGGTCATTCCTTTGCTTGCTGCTAACGTTGTAGACTGAAGTTGTTTTATTCTCCCAGGACCTTCTGGGTGATGAGAATCTGTAGTCAGTATGCCAAACAAAGTTCTGTTCATTACCACATTCTCAGTGTTATTACTTTAGGTAATCCTATGACAGTGCTCTGCATGTTAAAGAATGAGCACAGAGCATGAGAGAAAATGATCTGCTGGGGTCACATGGATGATTTTAGTGTTGTCATTAAAAAAAATGTACTGCACTCCTTCGAGAGAGAACGAACAGAAAGCAAAGTTGGAAGCTGTCTGCTGGATCAGTGCCTGGTGGAGCTTCTTTAGCCACAGTATAACATGACATGAAAGTGTATTTTTGATATTAGTACATAATTCACATGTATGTAACTTTTCACAAACATTTATTGTCTGTGTATTTCTTTTTAATGAGAGTTGATATTGTCTGTTGGGTACACCCGAGCCACAGAGTGTTTGGCTACTGTTACCATGCTACAGCAGGAAAGCGGCACACTGCATACACTAATTTAGATTAGATTTTCAGTTTTTCTCACTTTTACCTATGCAATTTACATCAAACAACTGTTTTACGCTACTTCTTCTAAAACTGAAATGAAAAATACAAAAAAAAAAACATTGGGACAGGTGTGTAGCATGGTTACACATATCAAACATCCTGTAAGCATGGCTTTTTTGGCAGCACAGTATGAGTTGCACAAGATGAAGGTACTAACCAGAATCCTCTTTATGAACAGGACTCCTGTTCCTTCCTTTACAGAGAACAGTGTATGAAGGAACCAACTAATAACCTCTCTGTCTTTAAAATATACCATTTTATTATACCGCTTTTATCAAAAAAAAATCTCATTTTATAGTGTAAGAACAGCAATGATTTCTATTATTGTTTCCTGCATTTTATATTTATATATAACATCTTTTTTGCATTAAAATGTCCATTTAAAACATCTTTGGCCAAAGATGTCATGCTTTTTAAACATGCTTCTGTTTTAAGCTCCCATACATGTCCAGCACATCTGCTAAGGTTAATTCAACATGAGTCAGGAGAAATCATTTCCCTGATGTCCCCCGTACTTTGCAAGGTGAGTCATTAACATTGCCGATCCAATTTAGTCCATCATTTAAGCAGCTGATAAACTGTACCTTTGTGATAAGAGATAAATGTTGGCCCCAAATTAATGTAAGACTAATTATCAATTAGAAAAAGGAGATAAGGTACACTGATTGCAGCACAAAGTTTTTGGAGCTTTTCTGGCTTAGTGCCACTGCACTGCTAGGTCACATCCCCCAGTTAATAAGCATTTAGCCACAGTCTGTGGCTTAAGGTGCTTTCTTATTTATCAGACACTGTGGGCGCTGGACTCTGGCTGCAATCAGAGAAGTTAGTAGTAATGAGACACAGAGACCAAAGGAATGATTTATCATTCCAAGCTTAATTAGCATACCCCAGACCTCTCAGCCAATGGGGAGCAGGAAAGGAAAGTAATTAAATTCCCCTGAGTCACTGCCAAAGTTCATTTTGTGTGCAATGCTCAGTATGGATTTACAAAGTGTGTGTGTTTTCTGCCTTTAGTATTTTGATTATAATGTCTGTTTAAGTCTGGCCTTTGTGTTAATCCATGTCAAAACTTAAATTAGTTACAGATTAATTGCAGTGTACTTCTGGGCTCTTCTTGCAGTCTGGATAAAAATGGAGCAAATGGAAAAAGGGATTGAACGACTCATCTGGCTGATAAACTTTTGAATCCATAGCCGTTTTTTAGCTGTTTGGATGGTTGGTTGAAAGAGTGAGAAGCTTGCTGGCTCAGTAAATCACTGTGAAATGATAACTTGTGATTTTTGCCACTGCATTGTGAAATGAAAGACTCACTGAGAAATCCTAAGCAGACTTTGCAGATCTCAGCAGCATTAAGTTTAATGTATCACTTTGCTTGTCCTTACAGTTTGCAGGATTCCTAAAGGTTCTCACAGCCCACTTCCTAGAAGTCCAAATGTGCTGCATGTTTCCAGTTTGAAATAGCAGAATGTCCAAACGAGTGACTAATGAAGAAATTTGAGCATCCAGCAAACTAAGAAAGTAAATATTCACCCTACAGCACAGTTGCCCATTAGCTCACTGCCATCTAGCTTATAGCAGTACAGCGGTTTTACACATCACACAGCTTGTGGGCAGCACTACTGTTACGGTTAGCTACAGGAAGACCCAAATGTAGGCTGAAGATAGATAATGAAACTAGGTTTAATATGAACAGACTACAAAAACAAATGATTACAACCAACCGTACACAAGAACCCAAGAAAGCTCAAAGCTGACTAAACATAACACAAAGAGAAACATCAAACAAAACAGCACCGTCAGGGAACAACACAATGAAACTGAGAACATAAGTAACATAAGTAACTAACAAACAATTAGAAAAAAGAATGTAATAAACTAAAAACAGGAGGCAGTGAAGCAATAGTCCATATAACCAGAGTCCAACAAAAAAAAAACAATGTACACATTACGATCAAGTAAATCCAACAAATCCTTTTTTTCAGTGTATATAAAATATAGGAAATACAGATCATCTGTGAGACATTGTCTTCTAGTGGTCACAGCCAAATAATATTACTTTGACATGTAATCTGTTCAGATTATAACTAATCCCACAGTAACTTTGTAGGTTTTTAGACAGACTCGCTGACTGAGTGGCCTTGTGCTGGTACCATTTTTGACTGATGCTGTGTTTGGGAGACTGTCAAACAGCCTGGTTGACTCACTGACTGACTGTATGAAGTAGTCACTGACTGACTGTGTAATTGCTCCAACCTCCCTCCCCTGGGCAGGTTTGGCATGCTGTCATTATTAGCAGTTATTATTAGTAGTTTTAATAAGAATTGGAAGCCACTGTAATTAGGATTTCCTATTATGACAGGCTGCCAGTTTCTGGACGTGCGTATGTGTGTGTGTACTTGGCAAGGTACTGTTCAGTTGTAGCTATTATTGGCTGCCTGGCAGGCTGCTTTTTGTTCCCATGACTTCTGATTGCTTTTCATGTACACACTGTGTTTGAGGGCTGACCTTGGCACTGCCAGACCTTCCAAACTCCTCATGAATTATTGTCTTGAAAATTGAGGAGTCATGACTCAAATGTGACAAGAACGGATCACATTGTTTTGTTTTTATTTACATGGTAGTACTAGTTTATGTTTGTGTGCCTTTTTATTTACATGGTAGTACTAGTTTATACTATTACTAGAGCCATAGTGAGTTTAACTAATTACTGCCTGAAACTTGTGGTTCAGTTTCAGTTTCAATTCAGTTCTCTATAAATCCGCCCTGATATGCAGAAGTGAAACACAAGGCCAAATGTCAGATTTTCCTTAAGCCATCAAATTCTGACTCCATTCAACACTTTGTGTGCACGTCATAAAAATAGGGGAAACCCTACACATGCTGTTTCAGTGGTTTTCTGAGAAATCTCTATGAAAGTTTATTTCAAAGACAGATCAACGCAGAGTTCTCTACCGGAAACAAATTCCTTGTGTGTAACATACTTGGCCAATAAAGGTGATTATCCTTAACCTTAAATGATTTAGGCCCAAAAGATCTAGTAATTTAACAAGAAATAATGTCAGTATTAGAATGAAGTGTAAGAAATAAGTGTTGTCCTCTTTCTAGTTGTGTTCAACGTGTCACAAGTCTGTCAGAGGGAACGACATCCAGCATAGGAGCCGCTGTTCTTGAGTAAATGAATATTTTGATATGTAGATATAGCTTTACCTCGGCTGCGACAAAGTGTGAGCCAATGACCGCATACAAAATGCACAGAGAGCAGAAAAGGAAGTGTTGATCACAGCAAATTCTCTTTTGTGTATGCGTGCGCATGTGTGTGTGAGTCCTATGATTCACATCCTGGCAGGATCATAAACAGTGTATTAAGAACACAGTGTGTCCTATTAAGTGTTTGTGTGTAAAATTATATTTCCTTTGTCCCCTGTGCACAGTAATGACTTGTTGTAAGCTCCACTGGCAGCTGTTTCCCTTTTCCCATCTCTCACACACACACACACACAAACCTTGAGGCATTTTGCTAGTGCACAAAGTCACTCTGTTTCTCTTGCTACATCCCTCTTGCCACTGACAGGGTGACAGGGCCGGCTTTTGTGTGCCAGACTCAGTCCACATTGCCGGACCACATTGGGTGGGATTCTTGAGTATGTGTGTGCAGCTCTGGTTCATCTTCTTGTCAGCACTGTCTCATAATGTGAGTCCAACCTAAGACTTCCAGGGCAGAAGAAAACAGGAGTTATAAACAGAACTCATACGCATGCACATTCTGCCACATATGTACTGTACTGTGCTGTCAACACAAAGCAAACACATAGAATAGTAAAGCACTAATGTAGAGCCACACACAAAAACTAGTAAAGTTGTCACTCTGTTCGTATAAGGAAGCTGAAGTGGCTGTGAACCTGAACCTGGAGGAGCACGCCACAACTTCCTGTGGTTTCCTTAGTGATCACACAAACACAGGAAAACGTTTTCTGCTGGGCTTTTTCCATAACCAAAACTTCAATTATGATTTGAGAAACAGCTGCTTTTTTAAGATTCCTTTTAATGTATATTATATGTTTTTTAAAGTAACTGAACATGCCACAAAAAGTGCAAGACAATTTTAATATAACTTCTTCAGTCCTCATACAGTATAGCAGTGTCGATGTTGGACCGGTTCTTCAAAGTGGTTGTGTGTCACTCATAATGGCAGACTTGTCAATATATAGATTAAGTCCTTTATTTTATTTTTAAAAGTTGTCACAGATTATTTATTAGTCCTTTATGGGGGTGACTGTGTGCTAGATCCTCTAGCAGCTGAAAATAAATTAGGTAGAGTAGGTTTAAGTCCAAAAGGAATTGCATTTTATATGTAATCGCCATACTCATCTTCACTTAGAAAGACTTGTAGTAAATGCTGTCACTATGTGTATACACACAAAGTCCAACACCTGTGCATGTGTTCTTCAGGAAACCAGGACGAGAACGGACACTAATCAGAGAAGGAAAAGCTGTGAGAGCTGCTTTTCCCTTAAAAAGGAAGTGAGGTCTCTTATTCACATTAGAAATTGTCTGCTTTTCTTTCATCTTTATCCCTTTTGCCACAGAACAGAACTTTCCATTAATATTAGCATTAGCATCTGTTTTTATTTACATTGTTCTGTCACCCTTTAAGTTTTGTTTTGTTTTGTTTTTCTGCTTACCATGCATCTTTCTAAACTTTTTAAATCTGTTGAAAATGCTGTTCCCTTGGGGCTGACCATCAAGGTTCACATGTAACCAGGGACCTTTGTTTTATGTTGTTCCCCATCGCTCCCCCCTTGTTTTGTGCCATCGCTTTAATGTTGACTCTATTTTAAACAAACAAACAAAAAAACATTAAGAAAAACAGAACCTGTGGGCCCTGAGAGTGTATCTGATAATATGATTCATGTCTGTTGTATCCTCAGTCGTCCAGTCACAATGCAGCAGAGTCTGGTACCAGCATGAATTCCTCTTTCTCATGTTAGTGGCTGCCTTTAATTTTAAAAAGACATTATTTTTTCATGAGACAGCTACACTGTGTTCTACCAGTAGAGCTTTAGCAGTACTTTAAAAATAAAAAACAAACAAATGACCAAGGTACACAAGGTAAAAGGTACAGTTTTCATGGGGTTTTTGTATAATATTCTTCTGTTTTGTCTTCCAGCGGCGCTGACCGTGACTCCCCACATAATAAAGCTCTACCTAGCAGGGTGAAGGTCTAGGTGAGAGGTGAGAAACATGGTTTGAGGCCTTTCTTGCCAGAGTTTATGTTTTAAGGTGATGCTCAGACCTAAACATGATCTACTAACCAGATTGGTAAAGTCTTGGTTAGGCTGTGTGGAGCCTGAGGGCC